CCGATTGCTAATGAAATACTACATTATTCGAAATTCAGTAAAATTAGCAACTCATCACAATGAAGGCACTTTGCAGCAAACACTCTTGTAGCTACGACACTTATAATTTTTTAAACGCAAATTTTATTAATTTTTTTTTCTTTTATTTTAACATTTTTAAGCGGGATAATGGCAGTGTCCAGCCGCAAAGACACGTCCGCCGGTGCAGGCATATCCATGTACCTGCAACAACACTAACATAATGAAGGTAATCCAAAGGAAGCTGCTAAGCCAAAATGAGCGATTATATTTTTTGTTGTCAGCGATGTTGTTGTAATTGCACCAGCTGCTCTGATGAGGACTGCGGTTAACAAGCATGCTGTCGAGCCAAATGTTGTGTAGTGGTAGATAGGTGAGGCTGCTGAGGCAGATGTAGTATGGAGTTACAACAAGATGGATTGAATTTGCAAAGGCTGAGTTTTAATATTTTTTTATCGAAATATTTTAGTCTGTGAATATTTTTTTAAAATTTTTTAGCGGAGTTTTTTCTGAATTTATTTTTTTTTCTCTCTCTTTAGCACTTGCCACTTTGCGTTTCGCTTTACAACTAATTGTTGCTTTTCGCTAACCGTTTATATTTAAATGCCTTTAGGCCGGCCATAAGCCGTTAGTGGCTTTTACTTGCATTGTGGGCGTCGCACACCCCACTTAGGTAACTGTAACTAATGTTTACGACAAAATATTTATGGTTTGTATTAATGTGCTCCTTGCTTGTACTTAATTAGAATTTCCACTTTAGTGTAATTAAGCATATTAACTACAACTATCGCATCCCAAGGGAGCTGTATATCTACCTATTTGCAACATTATTTTTTTTTCGTGCTAACTCAAGGTGTGTTCCCGCGCAGCAGGTAAAGTGCTTTCACACAGAATACTTTTGGAAAGTGCTTGCATTAGAGGTAACACTACACACATGACCTGTTCTTCAAAATTTAATGTTTTCTACCGAACTTCACTGAGTGCTTTGCATTCGAATCACTTTTTAGAACAATACTTTTTTTCTTATTTTTTTTTTCGCTAGAAGAGCATTTGTCACCTTCTATTTTCCACTTCTATGCTAGTTAGAGCTCACAGCTTTCTTATAAAAAGTTTACACGTTAGCAATAGCAAAGTAATCCAATTGCATTTAATGCAAAAGAATATACTGATATCTCATAAAAGTGGTATAACTGATGCCAATCATTAATACTACTAGTTGCTTGTTCGATTGCTCATTTCGGTATCGATCACGGGTTTCGCTAACAAAATGAATACTAATTTTCCTTTATAAGGAAAGTAAGTAAATTGTTCATAAATTGCATTAAGTTTCCGAAAAAGCATAACATATAGGAAAACAGTCTTGCAAAGCACACAAATCAGTTACTAAACGAATAATTAATGTTTTTTTAAGAATTAATAAAACTCATATCGTTTATGGTTATGGCCAAGAATTTAGTTTTATTATAAAGATAAAGATATGTTTTCAAATAGATTTCGGGTAAGTAACCGCCACGGCTGGCTCGATTAATTGCGGCCGAGAGGCCCAATTTTCGACCACTTTTTGCAGCAATTGGAGCCGTATCTCAGCAATAACACACCGAATATTTTCTTTCAAGTGATGCCTCGGGCTTATATGCGCAGACATGCGATTTCACATAACCCCTCAAAAAGCAGTATAGCGGTCTTAAATCGTCAGATCTTGGAGGCCACACCACAGGCCCACAACGTGATATAATGCGCCCACCAAAAGTTTTCTTCAATAAATTGGTTGTTTCGATGGCTTGTGGATTATCATCACTCCAAATGCAACAATTTTCTTTTATTTAGGTACCCATTCAACAGATAGTCAGCTTCATCGCTGAATAATTACTTTGTGAAAATCGGGAATGACGGCCACCTTGTTTTCAGGCCATTCACCAAACGCGCTACACGCTTGATGGTCGTTCGGCTTCTATTGTGACATGAGTTGAGTTTTGTAAGCCTGCAAACCAAGATCATTCCGCAAAATCTTCCGCTAAGCGGATTAGCACAGCTCCAGTTGTTGATTGCGATGGCGATGGACTCATTTCGGGTCTTAGTCGATACTCTGCTCAACAGCAACAATAGGTCTCCGGTGCGCACTGTACGGCATCTCTGAGGATGCACATTATAAACTAGAGTAAACATGATACAAAACAGATCCATGGTTGCTCAAGATATCAACTCTGCTGTGCGAATATTTTGACCGAAGATTGAATGCATCGCGCGAGGCATTGCGCGAACTAAACCATTATTTTGGTAATAAATTCAATCGATTTGCAAACGTTATACGGAGTAAGTCTGTTCATTATGGAATGGCAAACCAAACTGAGTATAAATCAAGTAACAGCTATCAAATACGAATAAAGAATTGCCTTATTGAAACTAACACGTCTAAAAAAATACCCTTTTCGACGCAATTATAATAAGAAGGTTTTCAGAAAGATCATAGTGAGCGAGTGGATTGACGGTTGACTTTCCTACTTCCACTATAGAATCCTCTTAGGCTTTTCTAATAGAAAACCCGTATAACAAAATTAGCTCCGTTTTCGAAGTAAGCTACATTATGAAATTAAAACGAACTTATTTTACAAAATAAAATAACTGTTAAAGTCATTCTACGGCAGAGGCGTTGGTCCTTCACAATGGACATTCCTTAGCCTTAAATACATACCTAAAAATATTAAATTTCCTCATGACTTCCATGTTTGCGACCACAAGTTCATGTTGAAACTTTAGTCCAAAAATCATATTCATTGACAAAGGCCACTTTTTGTTTTTCTAAAATTATTTAACTATATCATGCTACTTTTCATTTGCACCCAACCTCGCTGTATTTGGAAAAAGTCTCGAAAGCAAACGAACATGCTCTTTTGATTTGTGCAATGGCTTTTAGATATCAAAAAATGTGATAGATGTGTCTGAAAGTACATTCGGAAATTCTAACTAAAGTGTTGGTATCTGATAGTTTTAAAGTCATATGATGTGATTGTGAATTGTTGGCAGAACAACTAAGATTTACTTGTTTGCATATTCCGAGGTTTTAAGAAATCTAACGGTTGATACAAGTAGAGGTACTTTTTTCAATAGCCTTTTTTTGACAGATTGCACGAGAGTCGTGCCAATCTATTATGTTATTTTTGTTCAGTATTGTTTGGCATTTTATCATGGAAACCCTCACGCCTGAATACCATTTACAAATTGTTCAATTTTATTACGAAAATTCACGTTCTGTCATAGTCAACATAATCGGCCTACTACTATGCATATTATTCGCAACTTTTCGTTAGACTTTTTCCTGTGGGAATATATAAAGTCTCAAGTCTATGTGGACAATCCGCTTCGATTCAGGCCTTGGAACAAAACATCACGCGTGTCATTCGCCACCAGTCGAAATGCTCGAACGAGTCATCGAAAATTGGACTCAATGGATGGACCATCTGAGACGTAGCTGCGGCCAACATTTGAAAGAGATAATCTTCAAAAAATAAATGCCAAATGTCTGGCAGGTTAAAAAATTAGGAAACCTCAAAATTGAATACTCATCACAACAGACGTTCTCTGGCAGGTTAAAAAGCTGTCGACATGCACTCGAGAAAGAAATGCAAATGACTTAAAATGGTAGAAAGAAGATATGCTTGGCAAAACTACTAAATGAGAAGTTTAATATACCCTACACTTACATAAGTTCCATAAAATATTTTTAACATCACTATACTGTAATCGACTACTACTCGGAAAAATAAGATGGTCTTGTAGTGTGACGTGTGCGTTTGTTATTTTAGCAAGTGTTCCTTTCGCACTCTTTTAAATGAAAACGGAGCTTATACATACATATTTACATATTGTTTACGGATCCTAAAGGTATAAAGTGTATTCATAGTGCAGATTTTCAAACGATTTTTCCTAACTTTTTGAGGACGTGAAAGTCAGCAACGAAGAATTTTAGGGAACCGATTGTTTTCGTACAAAACGAGTCACTGTGGCCTTAGAAGGACGTCTTAAGGAGGTGATGAAAGTCATCAAAGAATACAACACTATTTGGAAAACCGATTGCTGTTGCTGAAAGATAACGTTATGAACTTGGTAAGACAATATATGGTGTATGTGACAGTCTTCAGAAAATAAACAGAGTTCGAAGAACCGTTTGCTTCTGTCAAAAAGGAAACGGTGTGGACTTGAAGAGACGACATATGACGGTAGAAATATCGTTGCGTATCAATATTTTTACAGTTTGGATTTAGCTCACATAGAGGTTGTATAGATTTGTTACATAAACGAACCCCGTTCCAGAAGTGAAGTCACTAAAATTTGCTGCGTTGGTATCTAAGGTCTCATGTTTCAGCATTCTATGTTATTATATATATAAAACTTTTGTCTGCACTTTCCTTCATTCAATTTTAGTACGTTAACATCTATTTTGAGAGCCCGTTTACATCACTCTTCATAGAGCTTGTAATCGAATTTGTGCCGATAATACTTTTCAGGGACGCAACTAGCATTATGGTTAATTTTTCTGGCGCATAATCTATAAATACATATATTTATATTTATATATATATAGTTGTGAGCTGTATTAAAGCTTATATGAGATTAAGCGCTTGATAATGAGTCTTTAAGTAGTAGTAATTATTTAAGTGGAAGAGTGAAACAAAGTAGACTGACAATAGGCAATAGAGCGCTAATTGCAAAAATGATACTCGTATATGTGTTCAAATGTAATAATGTTGGCAAAGTTTTGAACTGCAAATAAAAAAGCCCTAAAAAATAGATTGATGGTGTCATTTTCCATTCTTCGGAAGAATTGCTCATATACAGCTGCATTTAATTGAAGGTCTTTTCACTATTTAAAAATCACAAAAAAATCCCCACCTTTTATTAACATTCTTTTTTTTTTTTGCTGTAGTTTTTGCATCCTCCATGCCTACTCACTGGGGGAACTGCGCGAACTAAAAATAAATTTCGAAAAAAGTTGAATTACGCTTGTGATTAGGAATGATGATAGTCCAAGCCGAGCGTGCAAACTAAATATTTTCGATCGGCGTTGATCAGTGCGAAAGTGACAGTTGATGGGAGAGCGTCGCGTCGAGCGCAACACGGCACGGAAGACACATTTGAAGCGAGCGGCGACGCGATAAGCGAAAACAAACAAACTAAAGAAAAAAGATTAACACTCAAACTAATACAAATACAAAAACAAATAAAAATACAAAATAATTCCGTGTAAGCAAATAAGCAAAATCAATTTAATCACAATAAAAAAAAACGATTAAGAAAAAAGAGCATCAAGTTGCATGTGTGTAAATACAATAATGTTGTCATCACTAAAGTCAACAGCTTTGTTATTGTTGTTGTTGTTGATTGCAACAGTGTTTTCGTTAGGCGCTGCAAAGAATTTACGATATAAACACGAAATAACAACAATAGCAACAGAGGCAGAGACGTTGCAGCCAACAACAACAACGCCGAAACCGCCAACCACAGTCAAAACAACCACAACAACAACAACAAAGTTGTTGCAAAGCAGGCCGCCGAGTCAGCAGAATATAGTAGATTGCGGAAAAAGCGGTAATTACCTTAAACGGTTGTATTTAAGGAAGACATTTCAGATAATTTGTATTTATAGAGATTTATAGAGACTGAATGGAGACGAGGTATTAGTATTAAAGTTCCTCTCGGAAACGTCAAACAGCTGCTTGTTGTTTTATGAAAAAGTATCTAAAACTGTACTTATTGGTTGGATATAGTTTTCTGAGTGGGTTCTCAAGCGACCAAAACGCAACTTCTCGCTCCAACGAAAAAACTGAAGCCTTGAACGGCCATTCATTTCCGGTCGTGTCCTAAAATCAACACTACTCTGCTGGTCTGAGATTTAACTAATTTCATTTGGTCATTGATCCATAACTAAAACAACTTTATATTTACTTTTTATGTTCAAACGCTACTCAACACTAATACTTTTGGGGGGTTTTGTAGGATTATATTGTTGGACTGAAGCATGAATAGAGTATTCTAAGATGTGTTTTCAAAAGTGCAAAACACCATCCAGTCATCAATTATACAAAGCCAACATGGTCGCCAGTAAGTAATACATCGCAGATGTAATAGCAACGCACCTATTAGAAGAGCGCGTTCCGAAAAGTGCCAGGATGCCTCAGGGTTTCTTATGTAATATCATTTATGTAACAAAACCGAGTATCACTCCAGCCAATATCTGCTGGATCTTTTTGGCCAAAGTACTCACGCAGATATTTGCTTGCTGCTAACCAGATTTTTAAAAAGGTTCAGGTTTACTAAAACTGCAATCCTTATACTGCACTGGCCACTTCCGGCTTTCTTTACAACACACATGGTACTCAGTTTCCTAAACCCGACTTTACTCGTATATATCAATTACAGAAAGGCAATTCACACTTTCGTGGCTCTCCCATTAATGTTATCCTACATATTGGTTGCACCGAAGCTATAATACTCTTCACAAATGCAAATGGTTCCTTACAAGAACTTGATTCCGATCGTTCAGTTTTTATGGCAGCTATATACTATAGTAATCCGATTGGAATAATTTCTTCGGAGATTGTATTCTTGCCTTATATATCGCGTATATACATACAGACGGATAGACGGACATGGCTAAATTGAGTCAGCTCGAAGCGCTGATCATTTATATATATATATTTTAGGGTCTCGAACCTGTTCTTCTGGGTGTAAAGAACATCGTCGCAAACTTAATATACCATGTTCGGGTATAAAAGCGTTTGCGGACATAGAGCTCAAGTTGTGTCAATTGTAGTCTATATATTGCTATCTTACTTGTCCAAACTGCTGCTTTTAAATATTGCGTTTAATTATATCGCAGGCAATTAATAATTTTATACCACAAAAGGGTCTTCACACCAACTACAACAATTCAATCTTTTCTTTAAACAAATAATGACTCCCGCGGCATGAACCCGAACCTTGACTGTACTGTCATTGCAACGGTGACTATCCGCAACTATAAAATGAACAGCAGCTGAGAGCATACAATTTTCTTTGCGTGTTTGCCTTACATATCGTCTTTTGCAACACCACTATGATCTGATGCTCGAGCACCAAATTTCGTGCCATTTCGATTAATCAAGGACTTCTAATACAGTTTAAGGTTAACCACATAGTTCCAAGAGCTTAAATGACAGCTTTGCGTATTTTAATATCGAGATATATATTATCAGCTGTAATATTTTGAGATATATGTATATGGTTACTTGAGTCATTTGGCGCGAGGCTAACATCCATTTAGTTCACGTTAGAGATTTATTTCATACTCACCACAAAATTTTCGTAGGCCTCATAAGTGACAAGTACCAAATCAAATATTTGTCAATATCGTTCAGCTAATCGGCTCATTACCGCAAAATGTGCGGCTTTATGGTTTTACAAGTGTCAAATATCAAATATCAAATAAAGCTCATTTAGCCAACTTCGAACATTAAAATTGATGTTTTATACATTCAGTTTCATATTTCAAGTTTCGAGTTTTTTCTTTCTTTATAGATAAAATCGTTTTTCCAACAAATGACGATTCCGAGGAGGACAGCAAATTCGATGTTTATGGCTTGAAGACAACACCACCGCCACCAAAACAGAATGAAGTGAAATTAGTTAATATAATGACCCCTACCGAATCAACTATTATAACAACTACAAAATCAACCACGGAAGCCAGTGATTCAGTTTCGAACTCAACTGTAAAATCTTTTGACAATCGTGTGGGTGTTCTAAATTTGCCGCCACACTGTCCCAAAGGATTCGTGGTAGTTAATCAGTACTGTCATCAACCAGCATAATGTTAGAAAATGTCAATTTAAATACGTAATAATATAATACTGTTATTGAAATTTTAAAATAAATTTACTTTCATAGACTAAACGAAAGGTCTCCCGTCTTCAAATAACTTGTATTTTGCCCTATTTGACCGCATCTCAAAACGTATTCCAGCGAAAGACTCTTTAAACCGAACTATAAAAGCTTATTCGAAGTTACTAAGCTCAAAGTACTCGCTTATGTTTACGGTACAATGAACTTTTGTTAATCTTTCTTCTTCGTGATTTGTATACTTAAAAAACAAATATTCAAATATGTACATATATCTCAGCAGCTTGAACGTCACTATCGGTTAGCGGCATTTGACTGAGGCAGCTAATGCTCTCAGTTACAATGTCAGTAAAGCATAAGTGAAAGCATAAGTGAAAGCAACCAAATACATAATTTTGTAAATGTTTTTGTTGTTGTATTCGTATAGACGTTTTTTACATAAAAAAAAGTTTTTAAGTTTCTTTTTATACTCTCGCAACCTGTTGCTACAGAGTATAATAGTTTTGTTCACCTAACGGTTGTTTGTATCACCTAAAATTAATCGAGTTAGATATAGGGTTATATATATATAAATGATCAGGATGAAGAGACGAGTTGAAATCCGGGTGACTGTCTGTCCGTCCGTCCGTCTGTCCGTCCGTCCGTGCAAGCTCTAACTTGAGTAAAAATTGAGAATCTTTATGAAACTTGGTAGACATGTTTCATGGTACCGTGAGACGGTTGGTATTGCAGATGGGCGTATTCGGACCACTGCCACGCCCACAAAACGCCATTAATCAAAAACAAATAACTTGCCATAACTAAGCTCCGCAATAAGATACAAGACTGTTATTTGTTACACAGGATCACATTAGGGAGGGGCATCTGCAGTTAAAATTTTTTTTAAAAAGTGGGCGTGGTCCCGCCTCAAATAGGTTTAATGTGCATATCTCCTAAACCGCTAATGCTATAATAACAAAATTCACTGGAAGCAAATGTTTTTAGCACTTCTATTGACGGTGTGTAACTCCGCCCACTCCCCATATAACGGTACTGTTAAAAACTACTAAAAGCGCGATAAATCAAGCACTAAACACGCCAGAGACATTAAATTTTATCTCTGAGATGGTATAAGATGACTTTATAGGAACCGCGTTCAAAATTAGACAGTGGGCGTGGCACAGCCCACTTTTAGGTGAAAACCCATATCTTGAGATCTGCTTAACCGATTTCAACCAAATTCGGTGCGTAACGTTCTTTTCATGTTTCTATGTCATAGTGCGAAAATGGGCGAAATCGGATTACAACCACGCCTATTTTCCATATGACACCATTTTAAATACCACTTGATTCTTTCACTTTCCACTATGCAAATCAAGCAACAATGATTATATCGGCGTAAAACTTTGCGTGAATAATACGTTTAAAGTATGCCACCTTGTGACCAAAAATTTTCTAAATCGAACCAAAACTGTTCAAGCCCCTAGGTACTGAATATGTGGACCCCAGTACCTATAGTTGACCTTCTACCGAAAATATCAGTCAATCCACAAAGAAATCTCAAACGAGTATACCATTTGACTTTGCGAGAGTATAAAATGTTCGGTTACATCCGAACTTAGCTCTTCCTTACTTGTTAAAGAATAAAAACAATTGGAATAATAAAATTGCCGATATACGCGTTTTATTCGATAACTTGCCATTTTGAAGGTAATTTTATAATGCCACTCTCATAAAACCCCCATTCCTATTGTTAAAAAAAAAGTCCAGACTATAAGATGTGCGCTTAAGAACCTCTTAACCATCCTTCGGAGCTTCTGACAAGTAATTATCGATCTGTTGTTGTATTGGTAGTACACAATTTTTCTATTGCGGACCTAAGGTTGTCCATTTCTGGGCAATTGCTTCTTTTAGATAATCCAATTGTTGACAGATCAAAACCGAACTAAGAGTTTGACCTTAGGGGAGCAACTCATAGTAGATGATTATCTGCCAATCCCAGCAAACACATAGCATAAACTTCCCTGACCATCAAACATGGATTGTTCACATTTTGCACCGGCTCACCGCTTGTTGTTGTCGTAGGTATCTCACCTTTCATCACTAGTAAACATCCGCTGCAAAAATTAATCGATTTTGTTGCGATTCCAAAGAGGAAACTCGGTCCATGAGGCTTTTTTGTATTAAGTCGCGTGGTACCGAACGATTTTTATAATAATTTAGACTCCTTTAAATATATAATCACAGCTTTCTTAAAAATGGGTTTTTATAAAATAACAATAAAAATTTCGCTTTACTCTATTAACGTGTTTTTGTTTTAATATTCAAGCGTTCGATTCTCCTACTCTCCAGTCACTCACTTCACTCTCTTGTGACATCTTTTATTGGCTAAAATGAAGCCCTCCGGGCAGTTGGGTAACGGCTTTGTTTGCAATATATTATAAGGCTTTATTAATGTGTCCACTGCTGTAGCATCCACAAAATTCAGTTCGTCTGCAGCAGTTGTTGGTGCAGGCTCTGCGCCTGCTGTTGTTACGTCACCATATGACTCAACCACTTCGCCGGATTGATCTATCAGGTAGGCGCTGCAGCCAATAATGATAAGCAGGAGGATATAGAAGTAGTGGAGAAACGCATTCACAGGCATTTTTTGGTTTCTTTAAATTTTAAAATTTTCTAAACACTTTAAAGGATAATTACCGTTATTATTTTTTCAATTTACTGCTTTAAAATCGCGCACGCGTTTGTCTAGCATTTAATTTAATTTCTGTATATTTATAGGTTTCTGAGCACACAAATTGAATGCTCTTCCGCTTGCTTGCCTTCACCTTAACCCTCAACTCAACTCAAAATTGTGCAATTCTGAGATTATTATGTGCCTTTATTGACCATTTGCTGCCACATAGTAGAGGTACGGTCAAGTGCAACTTGAAAAGGCCTGCTGCCGTAAGACACTTCACAAGTCACTCGATGTAGTAGTGATTAGCAAAGCTCTTCAGCGACTCCTTAAGCGGTGGAAGCTTTGACACCACAAAAGCACAAATCAAGTTCACATGCACCTACGAACATATAACAACATTCAATCCGAATAGAGCATATGAACACAAATATATATACTCCAATTTCATAGGTGAGTGCTGCATTAACTCTATCGGTCAGTCGTGTGATTCAGCGCATCTCGCGCAAGCCACTTAGGCGCTCAGCGCTTAGCTTGAAGGCTTTCCGTTATGCCCGTATTTGAACTGTCTGTGAGTTTGCGTGGAGCGCGGAAGATGTACGCATGGTCATCAATATTACTTCAGTTAACATGTAGACAAGTTAATGCATTTTTGAGTTGTTTACTACAAGCCGAAAGCTTTTGACTTAAGCAAGCTCACATTATGGATTTCGAACGCCATGGTTTGGAGCACATTTGTACGATATCATTTATAAATAAGGTTTATTAATTTCTCTTTCCTGTTTTATTCGATTTCAAAATCTATTCGGGCAGCATTCGCGCTATAGTGTTTCGAAGTCTATGGTGATATAGCCATCCACTTCATAGCACAGCAGAGTTTCAGGTTTAAATGACAATTGTTAATCTCAGTTGGCTCTTTTCATCGGATCCCAAAACATTTTTCACGGTTTTAAATCGTCTTATTATAAAATCGATTAGCTACTCGTAATCGTCTGAAAACTTCTAGATCTCTTACTGGAGCCGCAAATTCAAAATTATATATCTTTTCGTCGGTTTTAATTAACTCACATGAAGAATTTATGAAACCTATTCCGAAAATATTTTTATATATAAATATATGAGTTGCACTTCCTTATATGGGTCTTATAAGATATTACCACAACCCGCTTATAGTTTGCCTTCGAACAATCGAAGAATTGGTGGGAGTTTTTAGCAGAGAGACTTTCGCCGGCCTTAGCCGCCATTTTTTTCTACAATATTTATTTCCTGAAAATCAATATATTTTATGCCATCCCTATCAAGACATTTTAGAAGCTATGCTAAATACCCGTCTAGGGCCGTAATAGCTTATTTATCGTCTGAAATATCTTTGGCATTAGCAATTTCACGCTTTTAGTCAAACTTGGATCTTCACTCACAATATTATGAACTTGCTCAATGATTTCTGCTGTGATTGCAGTTTTTGGTCGTCTTTCGCGTGGATCCAGCTCAAAATTCAACAGCGCGTTTTGAAGTTGAGGACTCCTTATACACTTCTTACAATTGTTCATAAATTTCCTTTGCTTTAAACCTTTCAAAACTGAGAAACTAATCACTCCGCGATATTCCGCGAGTTCGCACGAAAATTGTACCAACTTAAGGAAAATCAAATTTGGAGCTATTAGTGCTATTTCTTGGTGAGAGCTAACAACTTTTCAACCAACATCGTTGTCTTGGACAGTGACCCATGCCAAATTTTGTGAAGACATCTCTTAAAATGATAAAACTTTCCATACAAGTATTTAGTTCCGATCGTTCTGTTTGTATAGCAGCTCTATGCTATAGTGTTTCGTCAAATGAGCAGCTTCTTAGTGAAAAAAGAAGGGGTGTGAACTTTCAGATCGATATCTCAAAAACTAAGGGACTATATCGTATATATACAGACGGACAAACAGATCGGCATGGCCAAATCGACTTAGTTCGTTACGCTAATCATTCATATATATACTTTATACGGTCTCTGACCTTTCCTTTTGGGTGTTAAAAGTGTTGTGAAAAATTTAGTATCCCTTGTTCGTGTTATAAAAAACACCAAATCCAGTTTTAAACTTCATTATTTATTTAATTTTGAAGCTATGTAGGAGATTTGAAAGTAATAACTAATAGTAAAGAAAACGGGGTTTTATATATAAATCTTCTATTCTCCTCCAAAAACTTTAAGTCTTCTCTTTCTCTATTATAAGAAATCTTAGATACCATAACCAAGTTTTGCGATTGGTTGGTCAGAACTCAAATCAAATAAGATTCTGAATATTATTGGATAACTCCGAAGATTTTTCATAAGTAATTTCTTCTCTTCTTTCTTGTACAAACTCTTTTCAATAAAAGCACAACACGCTGATTGCCAACAAATTACTACCGTTA